AGTGTATACTTTTCTTCCAGGGGACCTGAGTTTAGTTACCAGCACCCACATTAGGTAGTTCACAGCTGTCTAAAACTACAGCTGCGGAGGGATCCATCACCTGTGGCCTTCAGGGGCACTGCACTTATGTGCACATGCCCATACAAACACATAATTAAAATAAAATGCTTTTAACATTAATTACATTTATTCGTAGCTTTGTGTATTTGTATGTATGTTTGTGTACATGTGTGGTGGTCAGAGGACAACTGTGGGAGTCAGTTCTCTCCTCCCATCATACAGTTCCAGGGATTGAACTCAGGCTGTCAGACTGGGCAACAAGTGTCTTCATCCATTAATCATTTCCCCCAACTCCTAGATAGCCTCTCTTTAGTGTCACAGCTCTGTGATTTAGTGACATGCTTTTTACTTTATAGTCGGGTGCCAGCTATCTGTTTCTGTGAAGTGTGACTGGGACACAGCCATGCGCCCTCATCTGAACAGTCTGACTGCTTTCATGTCACAATTGCTGGCTTGGCACAGGAGAGCCGTGTAGACCCGAAGGTCTGAAATACCAAAGCTAGCCAGTCCTGATGTGTGATTTCTGTGATGGCTTGAGCTGTATGCAGAATTTATGAAGCAATCATGACAGGGCAAAAAAAGTCAAATGTCAGCTGGTCCCCCCCCCCCTTGGAATCAAGCAAACAAATAGTTCAGATTTCTGCACCTGTCTTTCACTCTAAATGTTGGCTCATGTTTGCCAACCTAAGAACTACTGAATATACCAGTTGCAAAGCTATTGCTGTTCCAACAGTAACTGCAAAGGGCGAAGAAAGTGTTTTCTTAATGTTGTACTGTTAGCAATTAAAAGCATTAATTTAGCTGCAGAAGCCCTGTCCCCTTATTAATTAGAAGGAATTAACATTTCTGTTCCCCATTTCCCTCAATGTTCTCAATTTCAAGTTTACAAAAAAGCAAATCTGCTAAGACTGTTTACATACTCCAATTATGTGCAGTCTAAATATTTTCTTTAAAAAAATTACTTATTGCTGGTGGTGTGCACCTTTAACCCCAGCACTGGGTAGGCAGAGGCAGGCGGATCTCTATGAGTTCGAAGCCAGACTGGTCTACAAAGCGAGTTCCAGGACAGGCTCCAAAGCAACAGAGAAACTCTGTCTCGAAAAACCAAAAAAAAAAAAAAAAAAAAAAAAAAAAATTACTCATTTTATGCTTACGAGTGTTTTGTCTGTATGTCTGTCTGTGCATCACATGTATGCCTTGTGCCCAGAGATGTCATTAGAATGTGACTCCCAGAACAACAGTTACAGAAGGTTGGGACCCACCATGTGGGGCTGAGAATTGAGCCTGGGTCTCCTGTAAGAGCAGTCAATGCTTTTAACCACTGAGCTATCGATCCAGCCCCTAAATATTTTCTAATAAATTAAAATTATTTCAGAACTGTCTGTTCCAAGCACTGAACACTACCAGTATAGCCAGAATTAAAAAAAAACTACTAACAGGCTGGGCACAGAATTGTAACCCCAGCACTTGGAAGACAGAGGTAGCAGAACTCAAAGTCAAGGTACTTCAGGACCATGTAGCAGCAAGGTTGTTTCTTAATAAGCCACTTACTAAAAAACTGAACCATCACATTTTGTTTTCTTTTTCAAGACAGGGTTTCCTTGGCTATCCTGGAACCTGCTCTGTAGACAAGACTGGCCTTGAAGTCTTAGAGATCCACCTACCTCTGCCTCCCAAGTGCTGGGATTAAAGGTGTGTGCCACCACCGCCTGGCCACATCACATTTTCTTATTTCAGCCTGAATATACCCTAGAATCCCCAGTGGCAACCACACTTTATCTTTAGGAAAAGCACACAAACATTAAAAGTCCCCTAAGACTTGGCAAGCTGTTTAAATACCACACTGAAACTTGATCCTAAACTCCTCCATTTGTTAAAAGATACTGACTGGTCAAGGTTATTTTTTGGTAGTAAATGTTTGGTAATGTATTTAAATGATTTTTGTTGTTTGTTTTCAAGTAGCCTAGTTGGCCTCAAACTAAAATCCTTCTAGCTGGGATTATAGGTGGATGCCACCACACTAGCCTACTTAGTGTCTGATAATTCCAAAGTCTGACTACATCAGGATCAGCATGCTACCTCATCATATCCGAAAAAGCAAATGAAATTAGACTAACCATCAATAATTATTGTTACCAAGTGCCAAGTAATAGTGCCAATTATTCCCCCTGACCAGCATTCTACTACCCTAATTCCACAATTGAAAATGAATTCAGAGGTTCAGCTATGGAAAGATGTGCATCTCAAGCCCTGGGGCCAGGACCCAAAGTCAAATCTACTTCTCTTTGGGGCAGTGTTCACAAGCATGGTGTCAAAAACTGCAGGCTTGCAACTAAGGAGTGGATGGAAGTTACTACATACAATACCGACATATATGCTGTCTGGGTAAAGATGGTGGGCTGACCACATGCATAACGTAATATGTCCATTCTTGCCTGAAATTTCATTCCATAACAGTAAGTTTTTATCCAGTTTACGGTTAGAATCTCAAAGGATAGAGGATGAGACAACAATTGTAAACTGGAAAGCAAAAAAAAAAAAAAAAAAAAAAAAAGTTCCATAGTACAGTCTCGGGGAAATGGTAGTTACCAAAACTAAGAACTAGCCAGGGAAGGTTCTCAGATGTGGTCTACACTCTACAGGGCTTAGCAACCCTCTGCCCTGGGCCTCACTGAAGCCCTCCCACATCACTGGACTTCCAGAATCCTAGCAAGGCCTTCATTCTTCACATACAAGTCGGAAGAATGTTCTCTTAGGAATGAACAGCTTAATATAAAATACCTAAAGGTATCAACACAGACTTTCTTGCCTATTAAATACCCAAAAGATCTCCCTTAGGAAGAGCCTAAGGCCATCAAGCCCCACCCACTTAGTCTCTAGCAAAGGCGAAGTGTCTAACATGAAAAACAGACAAAAGCCACTTTAGACAACAGACTATGAAGAACAAAGAAAAGTTACAAAGGTTAGCCAGGCGGTGGTGGCACACGCCTTTAATCCCAGCACTCAGGAGGCAGAGGCAGGGGGATCTCTGTGAGTTCCAGACCAGCCTGGTCTACAAGTTTCAGGACAACCTCCAAAGCCACAGAGAAACCCTGTCTTGGAAACAAACAAACAAACAAAAAACCCCACAAAGGTTGTATGTTATTCTACAAAGAGAAGATGTAAAATAAAGGGAAAGAAACCACCACCACCAAAAAAAAAAAAAAAAAAAAAAAAAAAAAAAAAAAAAAAAAAAACCCACAAAATTTCTGGGGTTAGGACAGTGCAAAGATCTAATCCTAGCACTGGGGAGGCAGGGGCAGGCAGATCTGAGTTTGAGACCAGCCTTGTCTACATAGTGAGTTCCAGGACAGCCAGGGCTACAGAGAAACCCTGTCTCAATAAAACAAAACAAAACAAAAAACAAACAAACCACAAAACTTATGGGAACTAATGGATGGTATGTTTCAAGTTTTAACACAGTGAATTAAATACACATACTAGAGTGTGTCACTATGGAATAGACTAGTAGGACAACAGATCCTTGTTTTCTCAGAGAGAAAAATTAGGCCTCAAAGAAAGACCAGGAGTCAGAATGGTTTCAGATTTCTTAGCAGACTCAAACCCACAGCCAGAACTCTACATTCAGCAAAGAATCAAAAGTGAGACTAGAAAAAAGCAACTATCAGGTCAGAAAGGCCTAAAAATGTTTACCTTCTATGTCACCAGTCAGAGCTCCACGAAAGCAAACATTAGCAAACAAGAGACCCAATAAGGGATAAGAAAAGGTTGTCCCCAAGTTACAGCCATACACAGAGAAGCAAAGTCTCTAGGAAGACTCCCTAGGGAAGAGGAGAGGATGTGATACTTGATCAAACCAATATGATGTCAACTGTTTTTGGTACATGGTGAATGAAAGGTTCCTTTGGTGGAAAGCTCACAGGAAAACTAGGGGTTAAAAGAAAAAAAAAATGTGTAGGAAAAGAAAACCATCAGTCTAACCAAAATCACACTAGGTTGCACACAGGGAGATGTGGTGACAAACATGTATGATGGGTATGAAGAATGAAAAGAAACCCAAGTCCTGGCAATACACCCAGCAGCAAGTGGACAATAACTAAAACAGAAATTATGGCAGCAGCAGCAGCATCTTGTTACCAGGAGACACACTGGTGGAGCTGAAGAGATGGCTCACAGGTTAAGAGCACCGACTGCTCTTCCAGAGGTCCTGAGTTCAATTCCCAGCAACCACATGGTGGCTCACAACCATCTGTTATGAGATCTGGTGCCCTCTTCTGGTGTGCAGATATACATGGAAGCACAATGTTGTATACACAATAAATAAATAAAATCTTTAAAAAAAAAAAAAAAAAAAAAGTGTTCCTGATCTTGCAGAAGGCCCAGCTCCAGCACGGCAGTTCATAACCACCTGTAACTCAAGTTCTAGGGAACCCAATGTCCTCTTCTGGTCTCCATGGGCACCAGGAACACACATGGTACACATACATACATGCAGGCAGACACATATACACAAAATAAAAACAATCTTAAAAAAACACATGTTAAAAAGGCGGGCATGGGCTGAAGAGATGGCTCAAAGGTTAAGAGCACCGACTGCTCTTCCAGAGGTCCTGAGTTCAATTCCCAGCAACCACATGGTGGCTCACAACCATCTGTTATGAGATCTGGTGCCCTCTTCTGATGTACAGATATCCATGGAAGCAGAATGTTGCATACATAATAAATAAATAAATAAATAAATAAAACCTTTTTAAAAAAATACATTTTTCCCACTGTTCATGGAGCTTGTATTTTTAGCATCACGCAGTAAACTGCAGTCCATTAAGACTTTGGCAAAGAAGCATACTGCCACATAGAGTTCAAAAGAAGCAGAAGCAATAGTGGCTGGCTTGCAGGCATCACCAGCAAAAAGCGGGACAAAATAAAAAACGAAAACCCAAGCTTTTTTCATCAGAATGTTTATTAAAAATATAGACTGGTGGTTCTGTGCTTAAATGTCATTGTGGGTGTATGCTGACTTCCATCAAACAGACTCTTCGAAAATACAGAAGTTGTAAACAGAAATGACTGCCAAGACAGTACCATTTCAGAAATAAGCCCCTTAGAGTTTGACATTTCCATCAACACTCACAGAGGTGGCTCTCACAGGCCCAAGGGCACACCAGACCACAAGACATCTTTCTGCACTTCCCAAACAGTTTTATATTTCAGCTATGAAGGTCAGTTCCCAAGGCCCAACTTGTTCTTAACAAGTAGAGTTTTTATGTCCATTTAATCAGTCTTACACCTTTCTGGGCCAATTCATCTGCAGACAGGAGGAGAAACTGTCACCAGGTTCTTCATGCCATGCATCCATGTGATCCCAATCTTCATATGCTGTCCAACTTCTTTAAGATATATGGCGCTGAAAGAAAAACCCCAAATTAGGTTTTATTCTGAGTCCGCAGGCTATACTGCAGAATTATAAAACTGTGTGTAAAAGAAAAAACCTTTATGAAATATGGTTTTAGCAACAACTCCCAAATAGTGATTGAGCCTCTACCAGTACCACAAACCAAAAATATTCACTGCCTGGCAAAGCAGCCCATTCCAGTGCCACTCAATTCACCACCATAAAGTACACCATACTGCATCTTTCTTCCATGGCTATAAGTAACCCCAACAGTTTACTGTGGGGACCTTTGACTTGCTTTGCAGTGCAGGGAGCTGAACCCAGGACCTTCCACAGGCCAGACAAGCACTTTACCAAGGTATACCTCTAGCTCCGGGGAGTTATTTTAACCTAAACAGAACAACAGTCTACAGGAAACAAATGGATATTGGGTTCAATTCTCAATACTGGGCAAACAAACAACTGGAAGAAAGCACAGGGTTTTCTCAGATTCTACCTGTCACTTATGCCCTTCAGAACATACTAGTTACTGTGCTGGTTTGATAAATGATACACAAAGAGCTGTCTGGAATACTAAGTGACATTACTAGAACGGAGAGACAGCCCAGCAGCTAAGCCTGTCATCAATCAGGAGGACCTGGATTCAGGTCCCAGCATCCACATTTGGAAGCTACAATTTGCCTGTTTAACTCTAGTTCCAGGAGTTCCGACATCCCCTTCTGAATTATGCAGATGGATGCAGGCATGTAGCTCACTTACAAGACGAGCGGACAAAAATCTTTGAAGAGTGATAAATTGGTGCACATCAGATACAAAGATCACTAAGCTAATATTCTCTTGGCAGCTCTTCTGTAAGAAAAGGTTAAGAGGATGGAAAAGGTGAAGTAGTGTCAAGAGGCTGCCAGATGAACATATGCCAGTGTTCTGATCTACAAGAGGCCCTCTCCTGGAGAGGCCAGCAACACAGAGAGAACACAGCACTGAATGAATGAGACCTCCACCTCAGTGAAATCCAGGAGAGGTTAACTCTAAAAATGTTGGTATGTTTCTCAATTACTTGAACATCTACAGCCTCTACCTGCACAGCAGACAACTATATGCAAACAAGCACAGAACAATGAGAAGGATGTTGTATTGAGAGCGTGAGGGTCAGTCAATTCTGTTCTATCATTAGAGAACTAATTGTTTAAAAAAATATTTGAGGCAGTCGTGGCACACGCTTTTAATCGCAGCACTCAGGAGGCAGAGGCAGACCGATCTCTGTGAGTTCAAGGCCAGCCTGGCCTACAGGGAGGAACCCTGTCTGAACCGCCCCCCCCCCAAATATACTTTGCTATTTATTTTGTATGTATTCTGTGGTGTGTACACGAATTCGTGCATACTTTGGTGCAGATGGTGGAGGTCAGAGTACAATCACTTGGTTCTCTTCTGCCACCAAATGTGGATCCAACTTGGCGGCACATGCCTTAACCCAGTTAACCATCTATTTTCTAATTTGTTAGTCTGTCTTTAACCCTGGTGTGCCCCCTTGAACTCAAGCTGTCACTTGCAAAAGGAACAAAGATCAAGTAAGGAAATTAACTTTTTGTCTACAGACGCCTCTTTTCATCTTTCAGAAAAAGGAAAACCAACTATTTTACTTCAGCCTCTGTACAAATAAACACAAAGAAAGTAAATCTCTTCGGATTTCAAAGGCAAGCACTGAAGGAAAGTGCCTGGTGCCGAGTTAAGAGCTCGGAATTCTAGGTCAGGCTTATTCTGAATCTCCAAATGACCTTGGGTCAGCCACTTCCCAGGGGCCGTTTCTAGGTTGGTCAAAC